TTTTCCTGTTTAAAATATTGACTTTTGTTTTCTTCTGAAAACGCCCGGGACCGTTTTTTTTTTTTTTTTTTATCTCTGCAACTTTGTTTTTCCTTCTGCGGCACGCACACTCAAATCGGAGTAAAGGGCAAGTGGTCGGCCTCAGGGTAACGTGAAGCTGGTTTGGGGCGAAGCGTCAGAGAACCGGCTGACGGCCAGCTGAGGATCAGAGAGACTCCTCTTCCTCTTCTTCTTCTTCTTCTTCTTCTTCTTCTGCAGGGGCAGGTAGAGCTGGAGGGGTAAAGAAAACAGGCCCTCCACCTTCACACCTCTCCACCCGGCTCGGCCTGCGCCCCCCTCCCTCTGTGTGGGTGGGGCTTCCCAAAGACGTCTGTGCACTTCCTGCTCTTTCTTCCTTCCTTCCTTTCTCTCTCTCATCTCTCGTCACCTGTGCCTTCCTGCTTCATCCTCTGAATGGACGTCCCAAAGAAAGAACTGATGAGGTTCTCCCCTTGGCTTTACCTGGATGTAGATTCCAAAATAGAGGAAGTTTGAGGACACAGTGGAAGAGGACAAGCAGCAACCTTGTTAGGAACCTTCAGTGTCGAGGACTTGTGATTTAGGGAGTGAAAAAGTGACAGCACATCAGTGGAAGATGTTGTGAAAGTTTTTAATACAGAGAACGTTGGTCATGAATGGAACCAGAAAAAAAGAACAGCCTTCAAAGGCACCGTAGGGAAACTGAGGTTCGACCCACAAATATACTGGGCTTCGTTGACGTTGTACAGCTGCGAGACGGAATTAAAGATCTTGACAATGACCGAACTAGACACGGAATTTTTAGATACTTCAAATTTCAGGAATAACTCCGGTTATTTTCCATCGTTATATCCTGAGTCCAGTTTAGAGGAAAACAGAAGACAAAGCATGACAGCTGTTTACCAACATGAGCGGTTTCCCCCTCTCAATATTACTTCCTGTAACAGTCTGACTTATATCACTGAGTCTGTCCCACAGTCAACCTTTTAGTGGTTCAGCATTGGCTCCATAGACCCTATATTGAGCAACCGCTTCCATCAACCCTCAACTATTTATCATCGCTCAGTCATGAATTAGCCATAAACGTCCATTCAAACAGCGTAAACACCAGCGTCAGCGCCCGGTCCCTACGTGCGGTCAGTGCTTGTTTGTCATTGGACATTTATCGTCCACAGCTTTTGGGGATTTCAAAGTGAAATGATGTAAATACATGTAATTTATTGACTCTTGTCTACAATGTAGGCAGCAAAGGAACTCAAAATGCTCTGAAAAAGCAAAAAAAAAAAAAAGTCCATCCCATATGATAGATGCTCCAAGTTGAAGTTCTTCAGGAAGAGTGTGTGTGTGTGTGTGTGGCCCAGTGTGTGCCTTATCTTCAGAGAGAGAGAGAGAGAGAGAGATGACAAAGAGAGAAAAAAAAATCTTTGACGTACAAATATTACCTCATCGCTGTCGTAAAATTTGATTGGATCGAGGAAACGACCGTATTGATTCTGAAAGTGACGGACAATTTAGTTCTACTGTAGCGTAGGCTGTAAATAGTGTGAGATTTTATGTCAAAAACACACACACAAAAACAAACAAACACACAAACTCCCAGATCGTACCAGTGAAAACGTTGAACCGTGGGAGGTTTCTGATTTTTATTTCTGCTTCATCACGTTTGTCCAGTGCTGTTCTTAGCAGATAAATGATTGTTCTGTCTTAGCTGTTCAGGAGAGTTTGATCTGCGAGAGTGTGTGTGTGTGTGTGTGTGTGTGTGAGCGTGCGCTTGTGTAGATAGATGCTATTTAAATAATTTATCGGGATTTGTTGCCTTCCAAAACGGCACGCGTCCATCTGTATAAACGGTTTGCACACTGACGTGAGGATGTTCGTGTCTTTATGGTTTTTACCTTTTTTTTAAAAAAAAAAACAACAACATTTTTGTCATTGTGTATCTTTGTCATCTGTTATTTTTGTACATTTAGTTTGCTCGTCCTGTCCTTTAACGTTAGTTGTACAAAGCAAGAAAAAGGCAAATGCTGTTTTCTTTTTTTTTTTTCATAGCAACTATTTTGTTACATACTTCAAGACAATAAATAGTTTATAAAATTCTGAAGAATCTCTGGTTTTGTTGCTAACTCTTTCTCTGAGCCTCTTAAACTACTTCCTGTAAAGCTCTGGCAGGTGGACACACATGCAGGACGCTACCGAGGTTTCAGGAAAATAATTTAAAATTATTTAAATAGGAGAGAAGAAGGTCACGCTGACAGTAGGAAGTAGTGACGACAGCACAAATGCAGTGTGAGAAGTTTTTAATTGTTAATTCTTATAACAATCCTCAAGTTCAGTGTACCAGTGAGCTGCTCCTGGCCCAGGAACCTCAGTTTGAAACACGTGAGATAAAATAGCAGTCGGCTGAATGTTACAGTTAACTATTATTAACCTCAGTAATTTAGTGATGTCTTAGCTAACGTTTATTTACATTTTAGCTACCTCTGCTACAGATGATGTATAAATATGTTCTGACTTTAATTATTATCCAGCTCTGATCTAACTTTAGACCCATTTCCAGCTAACAGTTAGCAATTGCAGACATACTCTTGTCCAATATGCGATGTTTGTACTTTAGCTCTATTTTATTTCTGTCATTGTTTGGTCAATGTTTAGCTCTTCTTGCTTCTTAAATTATTAACCCTTTAACCATTTGTTTTTTTTTTGTGTGTGTCCGTGGCTAATTTCTAGCTTGTAGCGCTAACTTCTATCTCTCAGCACATTCAAGTCCTGGTTCCCTGAGGCACTAACAGACGGGCGGACACACAGGGTCTCTGTGGTGATGAGGGCCACATGAGGAATGTGACACGAGCGTCTGCTCCTCAGACTGATGTCAGCGACCCCTGTGTGATCTCCCCTGACCCCTGCCAGAGGTCAAGCAGCACACAGAGCAAATATTAGGACGACACAAACCTTGACATTGGTCAACAGAGAAACAAGTCCTAAATAATCCAAGACTCAGACTTCAGGGACTTTTGAAAACTTTTGCTAAATCTCGTACAATTGTAGTGGACATATAATTGTTTTTATCCAAAAGTACATTTTGTCCTGAAACCATGATAACAGTCGTTGATGACAGTCATTGATGACAGTCGGTTCCGTTGTATTGCAGGAACAGATTATTGACAGAAACCCAGAGGCAGAAACTCTGGGTGAACTCTGTCAAACTCTGTCCATTCCAGGTGTCAATTAGATTTACAGATAATAATAATAATAATAATAATAATAATATTTTTTAAAAAGCCAAAGGTGTTTCATTGAGTGGCTACTGTGTGTTAGAACAAGTTCAGGAGGAAACGATGGAGAACAGAGGAGCTGAGCTGACGACTGGTCGTAAATAATAATAACAATCAAAACTTCAGCTCTTTTTAATCCTGTGAGTCATCGATGAAGACGTTAACGATGACGGGTTAGGGGGGGGGGGGGGGGGGGGGTGGAGGGGGGGGGTCGGGGGCAGCACCCTCCCTACAAATGGAGGTCCGTGTCTCCACCTGTAATTGTGTAAACTCCAGGGTGGAGGGTCTTCACATGAGTCACCTCACGGACGCTGATGTTTGACTGTGGACGAGGGGCTCCTCTCCTGTCATTACTGGGGGAGTGTGTGTGAGTGTGTGTGGGTGTGTGAGTGTGTGTGAGTGTGTGGGTGTGTGGGTGTGTGGGTGTGGCTCAGCCTCTGACCAGAACGTTGCTAATTTAAGGGTCTGGAGGGGACGTGAAAATAAGACAAAAAGAAATAACTGTGATTTTATCATCGTATCGTCAGGTGGAGTAAAGTAGTGATTATATTACTCATGTTTTAGGTAGTTTACAGCTATAACTGAAAGTCAAATATGACTTTAATATAACATTTTTACTTTTGTTTATTTCTGGCCTGTTATTTTATCTGTTTTATCAGAATATATTTCTAAAGTTTGTTTTTTCAAAAATCATGATCGGAGACACGTGTGCCCTCGCGATGCCCTCGCCAGGACGCGTCCAAGCCGGAACACAGATGTGTTATTATCTGTAACAAAAATGTCCGGGAGGAGGGTTGAAATCTTGATGCGATCTTCAACAACACTCTCTGTCCTAAATCTAATCAGATTCTAACTTTTCCAACATATATTCTTTAATTTCATCTTTGTTTTTTTGTTGTTTTTTTTCTGTTCATGACACTTTCTTTTCTCCCTCTGGTTCAGGTTTCTATGCCACGCCCTCCACCTGCTGCAGCTGGTCCACAGCCACAGCTGCTCCTCGTCTCCTCGTCTCCTCGTCTCCTCGTCTCCTCGTCTCCTCGTCTCCTCGTCTCCTTCACCTTCTGTTTGGGCTGCAGCAGTTTTCTGGTGTAGTATTTTTACGTCACATTCTCTTCTGTGTTTATTCTTTGCTTTTCATACCTTAAAGTCAGTGTTCGTAGAGCAGGTGTTTTAAAGTCTCTGCAGCTGCAAGAGCTGCTGAACAAAAAGCCGACATTGTCTTTGTTTTTTTTCTTCTTTTTTTTATCCACGTCCTCCAGGGGACAGACTGAACCTAAACACTCACATTTTCTCTCCGATTCATCTTAACTACAGGCCTTTCATTGACTCCCACAGACCATAATAATAACACACTCTCAGGCACTTAGCTTAACGCTAACACCCAGGAGCACAAACCCAACTGGAGGACACGTTTTTTTAATGCCCTCCACGTCCTTCAAACTGAACCCTGGTGGTGAAAAGCTGACAACGCAGTGTAAATATTTACGTTACCTTTATGTAACTGACATCGTAATCCCTCATTCAATAATTCCCTGTGGAACACCGGCGGTCCAGAGGTTCCTGTGTTTGTTGGCCACACTGATGGGATTCCTGAGTGGGATG